CGTTTCAAATTTTTAAATAAAGATAGCTTCAAGAATTCCCTTATTATTTACATGAAAAAGTACATATGTATTTTCAACAAGAATTTTTTCTAAATTGCGAATATAAATAGGTGCGCTGTTGTAAATGTTGTCAGATGTTAGATGCATCGATCATATGAAAAATCAATCTTCGAGACAACGTAGTTTTCGTGTGACCAACATATATATTATTTTTTTCTGTTGGAGATACAGTCTTCCAAGGGACATTTAAATTTATATATAATGTTTGTTTTCTGAAACACGTTAATTGGAGGAGATGAGTTATTACGAATGATTAAATTGGATATATTGAATTTAGTATATATATATATATATATATATATATATTTATATATATATTATAATTTTATCATATAGACAAAACCATTTTACTCATTACAAAGATGCAACTTCGGTTCAGTGCATTTCAACTGCACTTCTACGAGTCAGAATCAATTCTCACCCGTTGAAGTGCAATTGAAATGCACTGAAACGAAGTTGCATCTTTGTAGTGAGTAAAATGGTTTCGTCTATATGATAAAATTATAATAAATAAATAATTATCGCTCTACTATCGGTATCGAGCCCTCTTTTGGATTAATTTCTGTGAACGTTAGAATTTATCTATTACTTTCGTTCTCATCTCATCGGATATATATATATATATATATATATATATATATATATGGATTGTAGTTTTTTTTAAATTTTCGTAGCGTTACTTGTTTTCCAGGTACTGATAAACTTACAAACATTCTCTTCGTACAGCTCAGCTGAAGAGAAAATGTTCGTGAGTGAATGAAAGAAGCTAAAATTGTTTCACATTTGATTAGGACGAGGTTGGGAAGGAAAAAGCCTTGCCAATTATCGTGCGTGCATGCGTGCGGGTGTGTGGATATGTTTTTATCTGTGAGTTTCTGTCTGTGAGTCTCCCAATCCGTCTGCTTGTCTGTCTATCTGAGTGTCTGGAGTGGGTGCGCTTTCGTGGCTTCGTCGAAAGAACCAACTCTTTATGAATGAAGGCGTGCAGAGACAAAATTCTCTGAATGAATCATTGAAGAACAAATTACACACCTGCGCACAAACATACATACATCACACACACACACACACACACACACACACACATATATATATATATATATATATATATATATATATATATATATATATATAATAAATGTGAAACACTGTGTGAGGATCGGTCTTAGCAGACGCGGGAATAGTTTTGTGGCGCTACGATAAAAAAAGAAAAGAGAGGAAGACATAAAAAAGGGGAAAGAAAGGAAATAGAGAAAAAAAGAAAAGAAAGAAAGAAAGAAAGAAAGAAAGAAAAGAAAGAAAGCAAATTGTGATGCATAAAATAAATAAATAAATAAATAAAGAAAGAAAGAAAGAAAGAAAGAAAGAAAGAAAGAAAGAAAGAAAGAAAAAACGCAATTTGCGATTCATAAAATGGATAAACAAAAAAGAAGGAAAGATGGGAAAAAAAAGAAAGCAAGAATGAAAAAAGTGAAAGAAATACGGGGACGAAAGAAAGAAAGAAAGAAAGAAAGAAAGAAAGAAAGAAAGAAAGAAAGAAAAAAAGCAACTTGCGATGCATAAAATGAATAAAGGAAAAAAGAAAAAGAAAAAGAAAGAAGAATGGAAAAAATGCAAGAAAGAAAGTGAAAGAAATAAGGAAAAAAAGAAAGAAAGAAAGAAAGAAAGCAACTAGCGATGCATAAGATGAATAAAGTAAAAAGAAAAACAGAAAAGAAAGACGACAGAAAAAAGGAAAAAAAAGAGAGAAGGAAAGAATAAAGTGAATGAAATACGGAAGGAAAAAAGAAAGAAAGTAAAAGAAATAATCAAAAGAAAGAAAGAAAACAGCTTGTTGGGCATAAAATGAATAAAGGAAAAAAGTACGTGTGTCTGCATGAGTGTGTGTGTCTGTATGAGTGTGTGTGTGGTTGTGTGCGTGTGAATATTCGGCTTTTCGAATCCTATTAAAAGCAAGATGAGCATGCGCGGAACTAAAATTGATAGAATCATTTACATCATTTTTCTGTAGGATAAGACACCATATGTGTAGTATGTTAAGAACCGTTTTTAAAAAAAAAACGATAACATACATTTTCTTGGAATGAATATATATATATATATATATATATATATATATATATATATATATATATATATATATATATATAGGGAGAGAGAGAGAGAGAGAATGAGAGATGGGTAGAGGACATATATATAGAGAAATATAGTTTAAAGTTTTATTTATTAATACGCAAGAATAATCAATATTGGAGATAGATAGATAGATAGATAGATAGATAGATATGAACAGACGGAGATATATATTTTGTGTGTGTGTACAAAGAGGGAGAAATATGAACAAATTTAGATAGATAGATACATAGATAGATAGAATATAGTTGGATAGATAGATTGATCGATAGATAGATATGTAAAATAGGCAAGAACCTATTGACATATTAAGAGAGATAGACAAAAAATATATATATATATATATATATATATATATATATTATTATTATTAGTAGTAGTAGTAGTAGTAGTAGTAGTATATATTCTGTTCATACGTTATTTGCTGGACTTAGTCTATTTTATCACACACACACACACACACACACACACACACATATATATATATATATATATATGTGTGTGTGTGTACACACACACATATATAAATAAATGTATATATGATGCGTGAGTGCATATATATATATATATATATATACTGTGTATGTGCTTGTATACTGTGTATATGCTTGTATATATATATATATATATATATATATATATATATATATATATATATATATATATATATATGTATATTAAGAAATATAGTCTTAAATATAGTCTTGTGCTATATTTATGGGATAAATTGCTCAATATCAGAGATAGAGCGTGTGTAAATATAAAAGTGAACATAGAAGTCAACACTCAGAGGCGACAGTCTGTTTCATTCTAAATGCAATGAGACGATTGCGTCTAGCAGGAAATAGACTCTCGCCTCTAAGTGTTGACTTCTATGTTCACTTTTATATATATATATATATATATATATATATATATATATATATATATATATATATTATATATATATATATATATATATATATATATATATATATATATATATATATATATATATATATATATATATATATATATATTGCCTTGCTACTTGCTGTCGAGCATGTCCTACTACTATCGTGCATAGGTGGTCCGTCGTGCATATGACTGCTCAGGTTCATTTTCCTTTTCATAAACCACTATGCCAACCTAATACAGTTTCTAGAAGAATGGTTAATCTGGCTTGACCAGTAGCTAATCACGTGACCCTCTCCTCTCTCAAACCTCTCCCCCTCCCTCTCTCTCCCCTCTCTCCCTAGTAGAACTCGCCCTCTCTCTCACCCTCTCTCTCCCACTCTCTCTCCCCCCTCTCTCCCCTCTCTCTCCCCTCTCTCTCATCCCTCTCCCCCCCTCTCCCCCCTCCCTCTCCCCCTCTCCCCCCCCTCTCTCTCCTCTCTCTCTCCCTCTCTCCCCCTCTCTCTCTCCCTCTCCCTCTCGTTCCCTCCTCTCTCTCTCTCTCTCTCTCTCTCTATATATATATATATATGCAAATATATTGAAAAATAGGAAAGTACCGTTAGGTTAATATACCGAAGTTCTTTTGTTTTTATTTTTAAAAAGCAGTGCTCGATACACAAGTAGAGCCTATTTTATAATTATTTTTTAAAAAATATATATAATTCTATCGTTACATAGGAATTACCATGTTTCAAAAACAGAACCTAAAACTTCCAATTCAATTACAGAAATTAACGATGGTATCATATTTTTAAAATAACGATGGAATGATATTTTAAAAAAAAATTGTAATACATATATATATATATGTGTGTGTGTGTGTGTGTGTGTGTGTGTGTGTGTGTGTATGTATGTATGTATATATTCAGATAGAGCGTGTTTGTAGAGGAAACAAAATAAATAAAAAGGGACAAGGGAAACGCTATGATATCTTTTTATTCATATATATATATATATATATATAGCTGGAGGGGCAGAGAAGAAAAACTTGATGATCCTGACTACGGTCGATTCATTGTATCATTAAATCTTTAAATCCCCTCCACCACAAATTCATATAATTGGAAAATATTTTCTGGTTTGAAATAACCTGTAATGGGTTGATAAGCCGTAGAAAATAAATCAGTAAAACTTAATGTTACGCGGCATGCGCCAAATTAAACATTCTCATCCTTATTACTGATGTGTAGATGTGTTAACATGTCAATGTCTAATGGACAGAGAAAAAGGTTATCATTGCCATCAAAAACACAGATATGGCTTGTTATGGCCATTATCTTTTACGCAGAAATGTTTTTCTTATAAAAATGATTTTCAACTTTAAAGAGAAAAAAAAAAAAATAAAAAAAAAAATCTGCATCAATCAGCTTCTCCTCTGACACTGAAAATAAAACTACTCGCCGAGCTCTTAGTACTATCTGCTAACTCGGAGATAGCAAGCATCTTAAAAGTGACCAGGTGAAGAGAAAATGGTCGATTGCTATGATTCTCTAACGACCAGCGCTACAATCCATGTGAAATTAGTCATCTATAACGACCGTAAAGAAAAAAACCTTGGTCAAGCCTTGGATCGCGGCAATGGCTTTACGAGTTCCTGCTGTCTGTCCATAATTTTAATTCCGCTGCTTTTGTCGGGGGGGATATATGAATGTTTTTGCTGTTAGATATTTCTGTCTGGGTTTTTATATATCTGCGGGAAACTGAAAAACATTAATTTAATCATCTCCTATAAAAGAGTTGGAATTATAATTATGGACTGACACATTTATTTATCTACAAAATATTAAACAGCTCTTCAATGACGATATATATATATATATATATATATATATATATATATATATATATATATATATATAAAATACAAATATAGGAAACTATACTCGTTTCGAAAAACCCTCGAATTTTTGATTTGCCAATAATCAAATCAATCTCGAGGAAAAAAAGGTTTTAAAACAAAGAAAGAGCTAGAAGCATGAAAGTCTGTCGAAAAAAATCGCACAGATGCAGGTTTTAAGCCCAAAGAAAAAAACCCGACACGAGTAAACAACTAACTAACAAAAGGGCTCAATACAACCGTAGAGCAGACCTAAATACACCTAATGAGCCAGACAATCCTACCCAGATTTCACCTAAGCGGATCGTCATATATATATATATATATATATATATATATATATATATATATATATATATTGATTTACTATGTATTGAGCCATATGTTAAATTAAATGTTACGTACGTTGAAAGTGTACTCTATTCGTTCTCATCATACCTCTCTCTCTGTCTCTCTCTGTCTCTGTCTCTCTCTCTCTCTCTCTCTAGAGAGAGAGAGAGAGAGAGAGACGATGGAGTAGCGCGGTGCGCTACGAGCCTGGGCGGGATATATGGAGAACTACGGCTGCCTCAACCCAGACGTCTAGTTCCCCCTCTCGCATTTGCTAGCAGAGTCCAAAGGAGAGGATAAACCAATACAGTTTGGTACCAGCGCGGCTGCAGGAGTTGCTGGAAGGTAGCACAAAGTGCCGTCCATCCTCCTTAGGGTCTTCACTCCGGGTTTGAATTCAGAGTTTTCCTTCTCCTAGACCAGTTGCCATTCAAGGCTATAGAACCCAGTCTGTCCTGCTATTTACCCATATCTGGAGGGAGAAGAAGAGGATTCACACCTTTGCCAAGGATATTAGCAGATAAGTGAATGTAATGGACTCGACTGGAATTCGAACTCGGCTCTCCGATTTCTCAACCCGAAGCGCAATTCATTGCTCTATAGTGATACAAATCTTACGAATGTAACCCACAGCTAGGGGGAGAAGAGGTGGACTCATACCTTTTCCAAGGGTATTTGCGCGTAAATAAATATAACGAAACCCACCTGGAATTTGAACTCGGCTCTCCGAGTAACAATTCTGAGCCATTATTCATTACACCACCCGCACATCCACCCAACATTAATTTAGATTGCTTTACATTAATGACCTAGTTAATGTATTTTCTCATATACGTGGCGCATCTTCTGTGTAGACGAAGTGCTGTAAAAAAATTATGGAAAGAAAATAATGATAGTAATCAATTCTGTAGCGACCTCGAAAGATGTGTAATATTCGGAGAGACACGGGAAACTTGACGAACGGAAAGACTATTCTAATCCTCCTAACACTGTAATTTTTAATGTTCTCTTTTATTTTATTTAGTTAACTATTTTTAATTTTTTTTTTCGTGCTGTATAAGAAACATTTTTATTAGGAAATAAAACGTGGAATAGGTCAACACAGGTTTTTATTTTTTTTCATTACTTTTCGTAAGAAAGAATGTCATTTTTATTAGAAAATAAACACGTCAGCGGACAAGACAATCGCTATAATAAATCAGAATCAAGGACAAATGACTGTGACTGCTGCAGTAGCGATAGCAGTATTTATTTTTGAAACCCATAAATGGAAGAGTTTGTGTGAGAAAAAAAAATTCATGAAAATATAAGGTATACAAAAAGCATAAGATAAGCTTTGGGCCCGATGAGCTGGAATACCAGTTGCGCGCCTAAATGTAGGTATTTGTATATGTATATTTATTTTTATATAAAAAAATATGAATAAAGTTTTACAACTTAACTATTTACCGTAATTCCCCACGCATAATAAGCCTTCATTCCCCACTAAAATTGTGCTGAAAGTGAGGAAAAATGCTTCTATTCATGCATAATACGCGCCCCTTGTTTGGTAATCAAACCCTATAAATTGTACCTCTCCAATTTGATTACGACCAGCGTTTCCTACTCTTATTCAATCTGTAATTGAAGATATTTATCAAAATTTCCGATCATCACGATTCTAAAAGGAAACGGAAGTACCTATATTGTGCCTACTGCGCAGACTCATTAACCTGTTTTTGTTCGATAAAATGTGCAATCTACCAGATCTGGATGCAGTTTTTCAGAAAAAAAGGTTTCAAACTCTTTCCGCATACTCTGAACTGTCCTCAGATTGAAACCAAACACACTGAACAGTTCGTATTGGAGCTGCCGGTGCGAATGCCAAGCAGTACAGCATGCCATTTCCAAATTACTAGCGGAGTGAATTGCGTCATTTTTTCACAGACGCTGACCAACAGACTCTACTGTACTGTGCAGTCGACAAAATCAAAAACAAACAATACACATGCGCAAAATTAAAATTATAAAATGGCGACTATTTACCCATCGCATCTTGTAAAGGGCGCAGTTCAGAATTCCCTGTACGTTACCCTGATCTAGTAATTATTTATATTTTATTTAAATTACCTTATATATTCGGCTATAAGCCTACTTCCTGTATAATGCGACCCCTGGATTGTTTTATAGAAAAATGGTGACCCACCTACCGAAAATGGTAACAA